CCCTCCAGCAAGAGCCCTTCCTCCACCTTTCAGAAAGCAAATCACCTCTCGTAGTAGGGAAAGTAGTTCTGTAAAATCATGGAAAATCTAGGTTTACTGATTGGCAAACCAGAGCACATGCACCACCTACTCGGTTGGGGAGCATCGGCACTAACGCCCCGACCGGCATCGATGGCATCGGGGCCTCTCCACCTGGACGTGAACGGACTCTTTTGGGACGAGCTTGTCCCAAGCAAAAACCATATCTAGACTATCTAGACACATGGTCAAAACATATCCACAGTGAGCGAAACCATATTTCAACATATCCATCCCAACTTATATATATATATATCAATTGTGATTCAATGTAAACCATTCCAAAGCGAAATGAGGCTCGGTGTGAAACCTCGATGTGAGGCTCGGAGCAGATTCTGCCTATAACGCGGCACAATTGTCCTTGTTGAGGAGGAAACTACAGGAAGGGGAGCACATGACACCCTCCACCCGAAAAGAAACAAAGTTGAAGGATGTTGAAGGCATCCTGCTGGTGACTCTGCACCATCAGACCTAAGCTGCTACAAAGGCAACACAAAGTTCAATAGTACTCGTGTTCAAGAGTTGAGTGAGCAGTGAGCAGGAATGAACCAAGTGTTTCCTTCAGATAGTAGCTTCTTGCTACTAGTAGTAATGCACCTGTTCCTAATAGCGTTGCACTTGTTACTACTAGCTTCCTGCTACTAGTTACTAGTAGTAACGCACTTTTGCCATGTTCAAGTCAGTCCGCCCCACCCATCGCCCTTCCCACTCCGTGACACACCCCATCCGTCGGACCCGTCGCCTGGTGGAGACGGCGACAGCTCAGGCGCAACGCCCGTGGGCCGTGGAGTCTGCCGTGGAAGACTGGATCCCCGCCCCAGGGGCCCCGTGGGCCGTGCCAAGGTGGGAATGCATGGCGCAACAATGGACCAGTCTGGCATCTGGAGTGGTTTGGGACGGCTTGCCTTCGAACTTAGAGGGCAATGACCTCTGACCAAGGAATCCCTGCCCAAAACCCGCCTCCACCAGCTCCGCCGTCTCCAGCAACGCCATCGGCTCGCTTTGTGGCGGCGCCCGCAGTGGGGACGACACGGGAGGCGATGCCACTGGCGGAGGCTCTGGCGACACGGCCTCCGGCTCGGAGTCGCTGTCAACGCCTCGGGTGGAACGCCGGAGGGGCGTTGGGTGAGCGTGTCTGGTGGTGCTTTTTTGGAAGATGGAGGAGGATGTGTGTGTATGTGTGTCCTTTTCTCTTGGAATCTCTGCAAGCAATTCAAGCACAACTCAGTGAAGAACGCAAAACCCTGCACACTTCACTCTGAGTCTTGCTCCATCACTTTTGAGCTTCCTTGGCGTCAAACAGCAGAAACATCCCTGCTGGTTTTGGAAATCAGGTTCATGAGGGTGTGAGCAATCTACCATATTCAACTACAGTAATCCACTATCCAGAGTTAAAGACCTGTCTCATGAGGAGGAGGCTACGGCTCTTTTGGGGCATGCTGCACTATACTCTACACCAACTTCCCCCCTGCCACTGCACAACCTCCAACTTCCCCACTCTTCCTGAAAGATGTCCGGAAAAGGCGGTCGTTCCCCTCCTTTTGCTCCGCCTCCGGTCGGGGGGGGCAAACGTGGACTTCGGCAGGGTCTGTCAGGGTCTGTCAGGGTCTGTCCAACTCCGTGAGCGAGTCATCCTCGCCAAGAGAGGCAAGGCAAAGGAGACATCACCAACGCCTGGACCTCCTCCGTACATCTACACTCTACACCCAAGACAGATGTAGCCCAAGCTTTACTCTATGTTGACTCAATTTGGAGCCATTTCGGCTGACTGCCTGCTTGGAAGTCCAACTTAGCAGTTGCCACCCACCTCTCCACCTAGGCCTCCCCGCTTGTCACCCATGTTGGCCCCCTCATCGCCCAGCAACAGTTCTTCGTCATCGGACTGCGGAGAACCGGGGTGGAGAGCCGGTGGGAGGTCTCTGAGGGTATCTGGATCCATGATGATCCATAGGTGGACACGTGCGTAGCGTCCGAACGCTCCGTTCGAGTCGCGATGCCCTTTGTTACTAGTAGCGAACCTTGTTCCTAGTAGTAATGCCAGGAGCTACTAGCGTCCTTGCTCCTAGTAGCACCCATACGATGATCCATGGGTCTGGGTACCAGGTGGACCCCATAGTCTGAAAGGGTCAGGGAGATTAGTGGGCGGGTGAGCTATCAGGATGCCGCAGTGCACAGCCAACCGCACAACAGAACTAAACAGGTCATAGCCTAGTATCAATAATATATATATAACATAATTAATATAATATATATAATACAATATAATATAGTCCAAGTCCGGACATGTTCCTTTCCTATGCTGGCACATGCCCGGTGTGCCAAATCATGACTCCTCAATAGCATGAGGCATGGAGCCTTGAAAGCAAGGGCTGACCGATGCTCTGGGCCCCCAGCGGGTAGTGCACCGTTGCCCACGTAGTCCTGATTCGCATCTCGAACAGTCGGAACACATCAAGTTGAATCACTTTCAGTGAAAGCTGGAGGGCTCACATTCTCCACATGAGAGTAATTTTCACAGAAACTATCAGATTGTCCTTCAAGAATCAACAAAAGCATGTTCCACGACCACCTCCTATTCTCCCTGTCTGAATTATTGAAACCCAACTCCTCCTGTGCAGTCACAGCAGCCTCAGCTGCGGCACACGGAGGCTCGGCCGAACAAAAAAGAGCTTGGTTGAACAAGGCGGTCTCCGAGTCGCGGGGCATAAAATGTATAGGCCCTATGAATAATTACCCTGGCTACTGGTCAAATGTGTTTCAAGCAACTTGTAGGCCACCAACACATGCATCCGGCTGTGGATCACCGCAAGTTGTTGGAATCCCCACTGAATCGGCTAGGTGCTCCTTCAGTGCCAAAGTTAACAAAGGTGTCCCTTTAACCAAAAGTCAACTGACCAAGAACCAGGCATATATCATACATCCCTAAGAATTCAATCAGAACAAGGTCCTCTCCTGGCTTTGCCGCCAAACAGGAAGGCCATTCTCACACTCCCGCCTGCGAGACCGGCTCTCTTAAGGAATCGATGACCACGACCTGCCATCGAAGCCATCGAGTCATTCGATGAAAGGGTCCCAGAGGGGAATAACAACCAAACACAGGCTTTCCACACAGCTCCAAGCTTTCAATATGTCAAGGCATGTTCAACGACAAACTACAAAGGCTATCTCTCCAAATTTGGTCTATAGCATCTTCTTCAAGGCACCTTCTGGAATGATTTATATAAAGATCACTCCGGCAAAGGACTGCTATGCCATTTCCACACAAGGATGTGGCACAAGAATGAAATGAAAGATCTTTTCGTCACCTAGCCCCAGCAAGTCAGTGGGCCTTTGGGTGGGCTTTAATGCATAAGCCTGAGAAGTGGAACAACAAATGCCACAGTTGGGATGAAATGATGAAAGCAACATGATGAGCTCAACGGGACCCCACCTCTGCCTCAGCTCCCACTGCAAACTGCGGGGGTGGTGGGGGCCTTGTGGCATCATTCTCAGACCACGTTGGAATGGATCTCTGCACCAATCCATGTTTTCGCGCCACAAAAAGTGGGACAACCTAAGGCAACCTATCACCCAAGTACTCCGTGGTTTTCCTTTTGAATTTTGGCATATGCAGTACTGTCACTTCGACTCCTTTCGTCCATTGGGCCACCGACGGCGACAAGCTGAAGGAAGATTTCGGCCTCACCAGGAGGATTCTGAGTCTTGAGTCGAGTCGCTCCAAAATCCGGACAAACCTGCCCGGCCCAGGTGTATTTCCCATCCAATTCACATGAAAATCATTGGTCAGGTGAAATGTCAGTCCCAGGATTCGGTGCAAGCCGGTGTTTTTTGGGTGTTCGATCCTTCCCCAAAATCCACAGTTGTAGCACAACTCCAGGAGAACGCACAATCCAGAAGGTGTTTTTGAATTGCAAGAGATGATGAAGCTGTCCCCCACAACAATGAAGCTCCTCTTGCGACAGGGGATGGCCTGCTCCCACTGCTCAATTGTTTTTCTTTCGCATCTGTCTTCGCCTGAAGCAGGGGACCCCACAAGTTAAAGCATGTTTGTGCCAGTTTGTGCCAACTGAAAAACCGTACGTGTAGTCGGGTGCATTACCAAATCATACATGATCGTATGCGTTTTGTTACATAGACCATGACACTTGTTGGAGGTTTTACATATCACGGTGGCTCTCACTGAGGCACTTTTGTGGGTAGGGGGTGGAGGGAGCAATAATGTGTTGCAAACATGGCAAACATCTCATTATGTTCACTACATGTTGTTCACCTGCAGGTGCTGCTGACTACTCCGTGCACTTGCTTTGTGACACGTTGCCATTTTGCCACATGCTTTAAATCGACGTAATACGGACAGTTCGGTCGCTTGCTTGCCAAATTGTGACGTGTTCTTCTTTATCATGGTTCCCTCAGCCCTAGAGCGGCTGCTAGTCTAGCCTTTGTTAGGGTTAGGTGGCTTTGAAGGTGTGGGGGATTTACCGGTATTTCTTCAAAGGTGGTTTCAGGTGCACGTGGCTATTAGCCATGCTTCAGATTGACAACGCCATCAAAAACAACATGGAAAACCATCTGCCGTGACGTTTGAGCGCCGCAATAGCTCGAATCAAGAACCGTTGCTTGATCCCCCTAAGAGGCCCCGGTGCATCGGCCAGGTCTACAGGCCATCTGAGGCCCCGAACAACCTTCGGCTTCTCAGGCACCGATGACGCTAAGAAAACCTTCGCTTGGAGCTGACCTCCCGCCACCTGCAAAACTTGTCCCGAGAATCTGTTAGGTGGACATGAAATGAGAACGTGTGGTCCATGACAAAAATAGGCAATTACCAAGGCCGAAGGCCCCTTGTAACTAGACCTTGCACACCTAAACTTCACCCCCAGAGAAAAACATGATTTGTCGTGAAAGTATGGCGCTCCTCCGCTTTTGGAAGTTCAGCAGGCGCGGAATAAGGTTGAAGCAGCTCCAGCGTCCTCGCAGCAGTGGATCTTCTTATAACCCTACCTTTCTTGGACAGGAAAGACCAACGGCGCACGAAGTTCTCATGGACCGTGGAGTTCGGTGCCTAACTTTTGCCCGCCAGCCGCCTGATTCACACCTGTCTTATTCTGCTAGCTGGGGATACTTGGGCAGCTGCTGGCCGATTTTTGCTGATGCCTCTTAAATAGCTTGGTGGGTACTTTCGTAGACGCCTGGATAGCTGATTCCGCCAAGTACCCACACAGTCACGAAGTGACTTTGAAGCTGGGCCTCTTGCAGACACTGCTCCTTGCAGCGCTGCTATCAACATCACAACGCAACGTCTTGCTAAGGAATTTGCTGCATTCCTCAGAAGCTCTCATTCGCATGATGGCACGCAGTCAACCAACTCCTTCAATGAATTCTGAATCCTCCATTCAAGCCCCATCCGACATGCACACTGTTCACTTAGTCTCTCAAAAAGCCAAGCTCTCTGTCCGCACTCTGCTCTTTCACTGCTCGGTCGCCCAAGGCTGTATACTTCCTCCACGCAACTCTTGAAGGTCCAAAAAGGCATTCACCATTACGACAAAGAAAAACTGCTAGAAAACAGCCAAGTTCGAATTGTCTACCCTCCCCTCACATGCCTCTCAGGCTTTCGCTGTCCTCAACTCTGCATTGTGCTCTTGCTGTCAACCTCAAGCCCTCGAAAGCTATCACACTCACCAACCAGTTTGCTAGTCTGCTGATCTTGGAAGACACGCTCCTTTTCTCTTCTAGCCCTCCATCCTTGCAACAGCTGCTCAACCCAAGCAAACACAACGAACTCTCTGATCCTACCATTGGTTTGGTGTGGGGGTCAACCAGGTTGAGATCTGTGGGATCAACGGAAACCCGTCGATTTTGCTTCTTTGGTCACTTCAAGCACTGTCCTGATGTACGCGCCGTCTGCTGAATCTAGTGTGCGCAACTCAGCCCCGCGCGATGACAGTCACGACCCTTTGTGTTCGATTTGCACTGAAGAGCGGACATCCGAATATTTTCTCGTGGCTTTCAACTTTCTTCAATTGGCTCAGCGCCTTCATGCTAGACTTCAGCATCGTTTCTGCTAGATCCCTGATTGAAAAACTGATGTTACAACGCACTTGGCATACGTACAGGCCAGTCCAGACATGTTTCTGATTCCACGGGTTCCCGATGACTTCTGATTTGTTCTCCAGCTGAGTGGAATTGTCATGGAAGCTATTGAGCTCTGATTGGACCAATCTCCTCTCATACGTTCGAACCATCCCTTAAATGTAGTTGCCGGCCTGCCTTCCTGCTTCAAAGTGACCTCCTCCTCAAGAAACTAATCTTGTCTCCCACCATTTAATGACATTGAAGCCCGCTTTGGGGCCATCCAACCATCAAAACGAATGAGAATTTTGCAGCTGCCTGGTTTACATTCTGCGCAAACGACGAACATCAGTTCTTCTGAGAAGAAGTTAAAGAAGAAATCGAACCAATCCTTAGATCCTTTTCTCTGGCCTGGCCAAACTATTCTGAACCAGGTTTCCCTGGCGGACCTGAAAAAACGCCTCGCGCGCGGTTGTCTCGTGCAGCAGCTGCCACAGAGCAGAATCACCTTCAGGAGAAATTGCCACACTGTTGGCCCCTGCGCGAACTATGGGTAATTCAGGCTTTTTGCTCGGAATACACCAAGTCATTTCTTACGTTCCAATTGCGTTTCGCATCGTTGCCTTCTCTTCTGTTCTGGAGGTTTGCTGGCGTAATTCAGGTACATCAAATCACCTTTTCGCCTTCCAGTTGCGTTTATCTTTTCTGCGTTTCTTTCTTCCTAGAGGCTTGTTAGGTGTACTTCAAAGATGTTGCTCGGAATACACCAAGTCACTTTCGCCTTCCAGTTGCGTTTCTCTTCTGTGTTTTTCTCTCCTTTCTAAAGGATTGTTAGGTGTAACTCAGGTACTTTGCTCGGAATACACCAAGTGACTTTCTCTTCTTCCAGCTTACTTCAGGAATATTTACCACCATGCACACCTTAGACCAGTCATGTTCCTAGGCTTCAGGCGCCCCCAGGCACAATGACTCTTGTACTTCAGGAGTGTCCTGATTCCTGATGTCTTTACTTCAGGAATGTTTCGTTATTCAGATTTCCCACTTCAGGTATCCTTTGACGTTCAGAATTTTTCAGGCTGTTTCAGACGTCTGACACCGTGTTCGGAGCGTGTCACTGTTCGCGGCTCCGCCTTAGATTTTCAGGTACCTATCACACAGCAGTCACAGGTCTTGTCAGTGCTGTGAGTCCTTCAGGCTCCTCTCCTTTTCCGAGGTTACTTCCAGCCCTCCCTTGGGGAGGCCTTGTGTGTGAGTGTGTAAACCACTATCACACGCGGAGAATCCGATTCTTTTTGAATTTTTTGGCAATTCATTGACATTGCCACCAAAAGCAGCGGAACTGGGCACTCTATGACTGACCTAGTTCAACGAAGCTAGGTCACAGAGTGGGATATTCGGACTGATCATCCGAACGTACCTGCAAAAGCGTTTCAGCTTCCACTCGAATGGCAACTGGGCTAAGCCAACAACCCAAAATGTAATATATTCCAACTATATACTTGACGGTGTCGTCTACGCAACTGTGAACTTTGGGCCGCGGACTTAGGAGGTTCTGGACTTTGCCAACACTCTAAAGTCTCTCACAAAAAAAAGAAAAACTTCTCAGTGTATGTGTGTGTGTGCGTCATCCTGGACATGAGAAATATGCTAAAGTGTACGCAAAAAAAGCACTCTGAATACTCCATAACGTCAGTGAATGCAGCCGAAAGATCAGGGAGTTCTTCGCAGCGTGCCCGTGCCAAGTCCTTGGGAAAGGAGCCGCGTGAAAGTTCCGCAAGAAATAACGTCCATACTCCGCCTGCAAGGCAAAGATCAGATCGGGCTGGAGATGTTCTCCGGTGAGAAACATGACTTCTATGTTTGAGCAAACCCTCACGCAAAGCTCTTCGCGTGGTCCAGTTCCAAATCGGAACTGTACAGCTTGAGTGGTCACAAGCCAAAGGCGTTTACATAAACAAAACGGCTGGCCCTGGGATGGAGTGTATTTCAGTTCTATTGGTATACTAATGTTCCTGTATCATGTCTCTGCGTCCAGTTGAAGACCCAAAGTGTTGCGGCATGTCTCCAGAGCAAACACTGTCACTCTTTCCATTTCAGGGAACTGCACTGTCGAGTTTCCTGCTCACCATAGCGAACACACCTACCCAAAAGAAGAACATATCTGGCAGGTCTTTGCCTTCCTCAAACAAAAACAATACTGTAACGAAAGAATACAAACAAAACAACTCTCCTCTCCATGTTTTTGAATGCATCCTTGCCCCCACCCCCCACCCCTACTCGGCCAAAAGATCTCTGAAAATCTCTTTCTCGGGGTTTCAGCCTCAGTCTAACCCTTTGACAAAGGGGTTTGTTTGCGTGGCTTTAAACAGTTGGGATGCTCTCACTATCGTGGTTGTCAGGGATAAGCAAAGCAAATTCAAGAAACCACTCATGTGCAAACACTGCACGCTTTTGCTTGAAAGTACAATCGGTTGAAAAAGAATGCGTGTTCAAAACATTTCAAAAACAGAATCTGCTACTGGAACTTGAGAATTCACCTAAGCACTGCATTCCTAAATCTAAGTAGCTTTAGGGTCAGCTACTTGTTCTAGAGTCATGTTTTGCCTTAAGAGACACTCCAAATAGTTTTGCAAATTATTTTCGAAAAAAAAAAAGAAAGAACATTCCATCTAAAAGGGTTGAGAGCTTGGTACAAAAACACTCTTTTGTTACAGGAGTTGCAGTTGTAGTTCATGTGTAAAACTAAAAAACAACATCTCTTAAGGAAGCGGTCATCTAAATGCAGTGAGAGGAGTCTGACGAAATTTAATTTGCCGTGTATGTTTTTACACCTGGTAATGTCCTGTTGGAGTCCCTTGTTCCATGATAAAGCTGTCTTGGAAGTGGCAAAGGCTTTAGTTGAAAATATCTACTGTAATTAGGTGTTTCAACTTTAGAAAGTGATAAAGTGTTCACCGTCAATAGGCATAGAATCAATGATTGCAGCCTAGTACCAAAAAGCATTCTATACCGAAATCAGAAGCGTTGCTGAAACAACGCACAAACAATTGAACTGACACATCAATATGGTTCATGCTTGCACACGCACATTCCAATACTCGGCAAAAATCATTTAAGTAAGTAAGTAAGTAAGTAAGTAAGCAAGGAAGGAAGGAAGGAAGGAAGCAAGCAAGCAAGCAAACAAGTGAGCAAGTGAACAAGTAAACAAGTAAAGAAGTAAGCAAGTAAGTACGTCTGGAAAGGAAGTGCACTGTTACAGCCTGCCGGCGGACCTTAAACACAAGGCTATTCAACTGTACCCAATGCTAAGAAGTGTTGACAGTCTCGTCGCCTCCATGTCAACAACTTGTCGCCATTGCCACGGGCTGCATGCGGCCAAGTTGTCGCTCCCAGCAGCGTTCAAAACAACAGGGTCTCCACAACACACCTAAAAACTCAAGGCACCTTGCAAATACATTCAATCATGGAAGTCTATGACTGGTTGAGATCACATGGGTGCAGCCACTCCCTCACTGACCTGCAGAAGACTCGCATGCTCTCGGTTTGAAGCGCATTTCTGTCTGTCTCTTTGATCCCGCAAAGACTTTCGACTACCTCATCGCAAAATGTTGCAAAACAATTCAGTCCGCATGTCTTGAGCCATGAATGAACAACACCACCAACGTTTCCGCTGTGACTGGTCATGGGTCCGTGGAAAAGGAAACGGAGCTCAGATTAGAAAAGAATCTGATTGGAAGCAAATCGGAGGCCCCTCACCAACTGCACGAGAAAAGTTCCAAAGGTAAGACCCAAAGTGCAGGGTGATGAAGGCCGCGGAGGCCATCCTTTTCTGTGTTTCGGACGTGGAGAGTGGGATGAGAGTGAGAGTGAGTGAGTGGCAGTGAAAGTGAGAGTGTGACAGTGAGAGTGACAGTGATGTGAGTGTAGTGGTGTGAACGTGAGCGTGAGCGTGAGCGAGTGTGAGTGTGAGTGAGAGTGACAGTGTGAGTGAGAGAGTGAGAGAGTGAGAGTGAGAGTAAGAGTGCGAGAGTGCGAGTGAGAGTGAGAGAGTGAGAGAGAGAGAGAGGGGGAGAGTGAGAGAGAGACAGCGAAAGAAAGAGAGACAGAGAGAGAGAGAGAGAGAGACAGAGAGAGTGAGAGAGTGTGAGACAGAAAGCACAAACTGCTGCGCCCGCCGCAAGATCTGCACTTCAAGGAACCCAAAGTGCTGCGCCTGCCACGGCATCTGCACTCGAAGTTCACAAAGAGCTGCGCCTGTCACGAAATCTGCACTTTGAGGTTCAAAAACGCTTTCACGCGAGACTTCCCTCAATGCTTGAAACGACCTACATGTCCAAGATTCACTGCACCTGTCATGAAATTAGAGCGCGTCGAAGATCACCACCATGTCAAAAATGCGGCATCTGCCACGAAATCTGCACTTCGAAGCAAAGCCGCTCCGATCTCTGGCGCTTGTCACGAAAAGTCGACTGAGGTTTCCCTTCCACTTGCCACGAAAAGTGACCACTACGTCTAAATCAGCCACACGCAGCAGCGCGACCTTTAACCACCACCAAAAATACTCCGGTGTGAGCACACTGCTTGGGGAAAAACCGTACCCCGTCCACGATCAGCAAACAAACAAGCACGAATGGGGAAATGTTTCACGGCAAAACGCCGATCTAGCCACACCATTGAGAAATACGCAGTTAATTATTTGGGAAAAAACCTAGTGTTTTGCGTTGCCTTCACCTGTGTTTCACCCGTATCCATCTCCACACAACTGCTTTGGGCAACTGGGGCTTGTGCTTCCGAAGAAGCAGGCACAATGGGTTCTGAAGCATCGGTCGGCTTCGCATCAAGCCTGTGGTGAAAGAACATGGTATGGGGCGTTGGTGTGATGGGCCTATTGGTGGCCAAACCTCCTGGGATTGCCATAGGTGCCAAGCCGTGGACAACTTCCACGGAGTCAACTTCCATGGGAACTGGGTTTGCACATGCTTGGGGAACTTCCATGTTCACCTGGCTTGCAGATGCACTTGCGTTGCTTGTGGTTGCCGCACACACTGCACCAACTGAAGCTGCATTTGTTGTGTGGGGCTGAGTCGGCACCGTCTGAACTTCGACTAGAGGCGAGAAACTTGAGGCTGACTCTGGCGCAAGTACCCCCTCATGGTGTGCAGGCGTTGGTGCCAGGTGGGTTCGGTTTTCCGGGTTTGCTACCACTGGTGTCCCTAGAGGGGCTGCTGAAGTAGCTGGAGCGGATGCCACATGACTCTGGGGTGCCACCTCTGTCAGGGGAGGTTCTACTGGGACTGCTGCTGCAGACACTGTTGCAGATGATGCCACTGGGACTGGGTGACTCGGTTCAAGACTGGCCACGGCCTGGGTGGGGATGGCCAACTTAGCAGGAGTGACATGTGGTTTTTTGACTTTGAACCTTGACCAATACTCAATCACAGCACG